ATCCAATCCTAGTCCCAGACTTGGTAAACAGTTTGTCTAAATGAATATATATGGACAATCAACTCTTTACATTACTTAGCTTTCAAAATTTAGCATGCTATTAGTCACTTACCAAGAACTCAAAGCTCAAAGGGGCTCTTGGGCTGTCCAGTATTTATACAGTAAGATAATTGACCTATAGTCATATTCTCACAGGAACAAAATGTCTAGGTCCCCGCTCCAGACAGTGTTTTGGCTGTGTTGCCAGCCATCCCCCAAAGTCCAGGTGCAACTTACCGCAACTGATGTTGTGATGGCCATGGCCCAAGCAGGAGCCAGGGAGGGGGAGAATAGGGGGAAAAACAGGGAGAGCACACCGCCGCACTTGTCATCCTTTCAGATGCATAGTACTGAAAGTACTGCTCCACGACAATAAGCAGAATTCCTGCTTACAAGTTTGAGAGTGAAAAAAAAAGCTCTGACCCTCAAGTCCATCTGACAAGGATCCTTTCCTGTTTGTACTCTGGCACGCCGTTACAGTTTCGGAGCTAGACATGCCACTGCAGTCACCAGAACACCTCTCTGCCTTTGACAAGCCTTCCCCTGATGCACTTTCGTACAAGAAGTGGAGACTTGCTACACTGAATAGTACGAAATGGAACAGTTCCTGATGTAATTTAGGCCATACCATCTACCTGTGCCCTATATATCAGTCTGAAGGATGCAAAATTCAAACCTTACAGACCGAGTACTGCAGCAGTTCTACAGAGGGGCTGATCTAAACTGCCAGCAAACACTGCAGAGGTTCAATTCCAACTGGTAACTCTCAAGTTAAGATGCTTGTAACAAGATCTCAAGGTAAGATTATTTATATACTGAAAAGCAGTGAGGCAGTACAGCTTTCAACGTTTAAGAAAACACTAGAAGAGCTGCACTGCTTCAGGATCTATATCCAGTAAAGCTTTTAGTCCAACTATGACTACTATGACTGACACATGAGCTACCCAAGTTGGTTTTTTTAATAGGTCTAACATAAACCCAAATTAACTGATTTCCTGTTGCTTACTAAGAACATTAAAACAGTTGAAAACACAGTGGCTGTCAGATTTCTCATCCATAAAATTCATTCTTGCTGTAGGTAAAATTCCCCCTGAAATGAAGATACTGAAAGCCACTGCAAGTTTTCATCAGCTACCTTGGTATGTTGTATTATACAAGTGCTCATTTTTCAGGCACATAATTCATGCTGAGGAGCCAACAGGTAGCATCAGCTTCCTACACCAACTTCCCCACACCATTTGCACAACTTCTGTCCCACCTACAGCAGACCTTCAAACGCTCTGTATCTGGCAGTATGCGTGCTCCAGACTTGGGAGTCTCTTCTTGCCCCAGAAGCAATGACCCACTGAATAAGCAATACTTTGCAGGCCTTTCAGAGCTGTAAAGCAGTGAAAAATGGCTGTGACTGGAAACCCCTCTCTACCTACTGCCTCCCAGAGCAGCACACAGAGCCATTATTACTTAATTGAGATAAATTCCCACTCTCCATGCTAGGGCACAACAGAGCTCGGAGGCAAGCAGGGCAAGCGCCCAGCACCAACATTCCCCTGCTCTTCCAGCCCAGTTCTTTCGAACAACACTTACAAGCCTCTCTTTTAAGTTCAGCACAGAAATTAACAGTCCTTTTCAAGGCAGAGCTGCTATAAAACAAAAAGCCAAATAAAGGACTGTTTTTCATGAATTGCTTCAATGCATACCATCAAGAAACTGTGTGTGGAAATATATGTATTTTCAGGAATGCTGGATCTCACTGAATTAAAACATATGAAAGCTGACAGATTTCTGTATAAGACCATTTATTTTAACAAACAGATGAGTCTTTACGATGAACTGGAGGCTGCAACAGCTGCTCTCTTGGGCTTCGGTGTAGTTCCCTCACGGAATCCATTCCTACAAGCAGAAATATGGTTACCACTTTCCCGAAAGTACGATTCCTGCTACAGTTTATTTTTCTGACAGGTAATGTTTTAGATCAAACTCACCATCTTTTTTCAGCTTATCTCAGCATTGCACTGAAATCACCATAGAGTTCATATGTTCAGACATTTTTGTAAGAAATATCTTACTAACAAGTGTTTGGAATAAGCAGTATGGTTTTTGCTCTCCTCTGCAGAAGTAAATTTATCTTTTTCAAACAGAAGATCTCAGTAACTGAGTGAACACTGCATCAAATACAGCACACCTGCTGAAGGCACACCATACTTTTTATGCTCCTACTCAGCAACTCAGCATTCATTTTGGAAGTGCAAGTCAATTTCTAACCTAAACCCTCTATGCCTCCAACCAGATGCTACGACAGGTATGACACAAGAAGAGTCACCCCAAACTCCAAACAGATATGACATTTCTCCTTCAGCAACGCCCAGCGGAAAGCAGGCTACAGCTGCAGACTGCAAGGTATTTTCTGGATGCTGCTGGGAAAGACTGTGCTCGCCAGAACGGATGAATGGATCCCTCAACTACACCCAGGTCTGGGACCTAAGAGACTCCTACTTTTCACTAAATCCAAACTACATTTTCACAAGACTCTTGAATTACTTATTTTGCATCCACCCATCTTGCTCATTAGGCCAGAAGCTATAAAGCTCAGTTTTGGAACATGGAGGTCATACAAAAGAAAATCTTATCAAGTTTAGCAGTACAATATCCCCATCATTACCTCATAAGTACAACTCAAAGCTCTGTAACAAGTTTCAGAAACCTGTCACTCAGAACCTGATATTATACCTACCTACTGTTGGCTAACTCCCAAGAAAGTGACTACTGAAGTTATTCCACTCCTAAACTTTTTTTTCTTTGTAGGAAAAATGGGAATTGGAATGTATTTCAAGACTTGTCACTTGCAAAATCCTACACTTCAGTGCCACCAGCAATTTAACTGACTGACAAATAGAGGCAATACTATACAAAGCATATCTTTTAAAGTGTGGGCTTTTTATTACAATAACCTCTGTAGTTTGTACTATCTACACTTAATAGAAATGTCAGAGCTTGTTATACACCCCATGTTTTAACAGTGAATGAGTTTTTTATCCTCAAAGAAATATGCAACCAATTGTGTAAGGCACAATCTATTTTGTTACGTATTTAAGAAAAGCCATACTACTTAGGTGTACTAAGTGTACTGGGCTGCACAAAAAGAAGCATGGCCAGCAGGTTGAGAGGTGATTCTACCCCACTCTGGTGGGACTCCACCTGGAGTACTGCACCCAGCTCTGGAGCCCCCAACATAAGAATATGGACCTGTTGGAACAGGACCAGCTGAGGACCACAAAGAGGATCAGACAGCCAGAGCACCTCCCTATGAGGACAGGCTCAGAGACTTGGGGTTGTTCCACCCGGAGAAGGCTCCAGGGAGACCTTGTAGCCGCTTTCCAGTATCTAAACCAGGCCTAGAGGAGAGATGGTTAGGGACTCTTTATCTGGGGAGTGTAGTGCTGGGATGATGGGTAATGCTTTGAAATTGAAATTCTTAAACTGAGCTTTCTATTAGATATGAGGAAGAAATTCTTTACTGTGAGCATGGTGAGATGCTGGAACAGGTTGCCCAGGGAAGCTGCGGAAGCACCATCCCTGGAAGTGTTCAAGGCCAGGCTGGATGGGGCTTGGAGCAACCTGGTCTGGTGGGAGGTGTCCCTGCCCACGGCAGTGGGGTTGGAACTTCATGATCTTTAAAGTCTCTTTCCAACCTAAACCATTCTATGATATAAATAAAAATAATAGCTTTTAACGATGAGTTTTATAATTAAGTGATATGTATGCAGGATTCCACACCACACAAGCTTGTAATAAGATGTCATACCTGAAACGGCGGTAGACCTTCTTCAGGTGCCTCATGCGACCAGTACCAGTGGTGTTGCGTCTTTTAGCCTTTGCACTCCAGTTATCTAAAACATATAGGGCAAAATTATTCAATCTGATAGCAGCAAAAAACCAAAATAATTATAAATTAAATCAATTGCTATGTAGTAACAGTGCATATTAGCTAAAATACAGTCAAAACAGCATCAATTTGGAAAAAACTCCACAAACACTGCAAGGCAACACAATATTCTTCCTTGGCTAGAAAAAAAAAAGTCATACTACTGAAGATAAAGAACCACGTTTTTTTTTAAACTCAAGTCAGTTGCAAGTGTGTTACTTACACTTTCTCTTACGCTTGGCAGGGTAACCACATTTCCCACAGGTTGACTTCTGCAGGTGGTAGGCCTTGGACCCGCACCGACGGCACAAGGTGTGCGTCTTATTCCTCCGCTTACCGAACGACGATGTTCCCTTCGTCTGAAAAGCATTTCAAGACACGGCGTGTTGGAAACACCGGCAGCGCTTGCAAATCACGCAACTAAAGAGAACAAGCTCCTCTAAAATAACGCAAGTCCTTTAAGTCGAACAAACACACGTCGGAAGCAGGCAGAAACACCGCGTTTCGCCTGCGGGGAGCCTCCATTTCCAGAGACCGTTTCCTTACGGAAGGCCCTCGCGGCACACTCACAGGGCGCGCTTTATCTGCAGGTCCCTGCTCCTCTCCCCCGCACGCACGGCCGGGAACAGCGAGCCGCTCTCCCCTGAAGGCTACTTTCCTCACGCAGGCCAGCCCCGCACTCACCACAGGAAACCCCGGCCGCCGAAACCCCTCTCGCTACGCCACCCGCACGGCTGCCTCGGCCGCGGGAGGAGCCCCGGCCCAAGCACGAACGGAGGAGCCCCCGGAGAAGCTCGGGCGGCAGCACGGCCCTGCGCCTCAGCGCGGCCTCCCCGCGCGGGCCGAGAAACCCCGCTTCCCCCGCCCGCGCCTGCAGCGACTCCCGCCGCCGCCAGGCCCTCAAGGCC